CTCTCTCTCTCTCTCTCTCTCTCTCTCTCTCTCTCTCTCTCTCTCTCTCTCTCTCTCTCTCTCTCTCTCTCTCTCTCTCTCTATCTCTCTCTAGGTGCCTTGGCCAAATTGGTTGAGGCTACGAGTGATCCGCATCTGCGATGTCTATTGCAGATGTTGAGCAAGGGGTTCCTGCAGAGGAGACGGGGGGTAACGGGTACCAGTGGTCCGGGGTACGAGGTCGGAGGGTACGGGTAGGTGGTAGTGGATAAGGGGTACCAAGGGAGTTAGGGACAGGGATGGTGAGTAGGAAAATGCTGGCAATGGGATGAAGCGGGGTTTGTCACGAGGAATCGGCCCGGAGACTGGGTCAAACAGGATGGATTCGAGGCAGCGGCCTTGTGACTTGATCAGAAAACTGGGGGGTACGATTGCGGTTTGAAACCTGGCGGCTAGACCAGGGGACTTGTTGAAATCGCTATTTTGAAATTTTAAATCATCTTGAATTCTGAAAATCCGGTAGTCGGGAGAGAGAGGGGACTAGTGTGGGGACGGGCCAAGGTACAAGTACGGCAGCAGGGCCAACGCTGCCGTGAGCTGAGGGATTTCGATCCTACCTCCTGAAGAGTCCGAACGTAGTCGGACGAAACCGGTCGAGGATACTACGAGCTTAGGGGAGGAGCATTGGTAATGGCAGGGCCATGGTGGAACAGGATGAAAGAGAAGGAGAGGGGATGGGAGAGAGAGGTAAGGGGAGTTTTATGCGTGCTCGTGATTTTATATCTCTTGTTTAAAAACTCTCGTGGGAAGAAGGATATTTTCATTCTGATTTTGCTGTAAGCTTGAAAGTTGCTATGACTGTGTGGCCGCAGTTTTCCTGCACTCCAGGGCGCATGGTAACTAGGAGCACTGAGAACTCCATGGTGGCTATGTCTACAACGGGTTTTTGAAGTACCTGAGTTAACGAGAGATCTGACGAGGTAAGTTAACGTTGTACATACAGAGACTAGAAGTGTGTTAGTCGTAAGGATGTACGGGGGTGGACAAAATCAGCGAGGGGGAATGGGAGTTTACGGGAACGCGGGCGGTGGCGATAATGGATATGGCGGGTACACAGGCAATAACGGATACAACGGGGACATAAGCGGAAACATAGGTGGTAACACGGGTGGATACATGGGAGGTGCCTCAGGCGGTAATGGCGGAATGGGGGGTAGGCAGCCCCCGACCTGTTATACATGCGGCAAGCCGGGTCATTATTCCCGCGATTGTTGGTTGAAGCGGGGACGGCAGGATGACATCGAGATGGAAAAGATACGACAGTAGCATAGGGTGATGATGCAGGAGAGGCGTGAAGCGGAGGAAAAGAGAAAAGTAGAAGAACGAAGAAACTGCACGAGGAAAACGAGAGAAGACGCGAACAGGATATGGTCCGACATACGGAAGAAATCAGGCTTCAACTAGAAGCGGGACTTGAGGAGAAGTGGCGGCAGCAGACAAAGCAAGCGGTAGAAGCCGCCGCAACGGCGAAGGCAAAAGCGGAGGAGGCGAGAACCAGGGCTGAAGAGGCGAATGCCAAGGCGGACGAGGCACAGGCGAATTTTGAGAAGGCTAGAATCGAGAAGGTGAGGATGAGTGTGCGCAAGGCACGAGATACACCGGCGGACTCGAGTAGGAAGAGAGTCAGGGAGTATGTATCCGAAGAAGTGACCTCAGCGGATTCAGATTCTGATGGCGACACCACTGACTCCGACGAAGAGCTGAGGAGAACTATTGAACGTTTGAAGATGGAGAAAAGAGCGAGAAAGTCGGGGAAGAGGGGAAGACCGAAGAAACGGGAAGATCTGGCGAATGAGAAGACACCTTACAAGACACCTGACAAGATTCAGTCCACGACGGAACGGGGAGAATGTTCGAAAGGGAAGGCACAAACAAGGTGTAATCGAGAGGATATGGAAGACGTTTTGAGGAATACAAACGACATTGGGTGCGGTTTCGGGGAACCATGGGATGAGATCAATCAATGTCGGGGCTCACCGAGGATGGGAGGAATAAGGTTCAACATACCGAGGGGCGACGATGAGATGCGGGCAGATGAACCAAGGACACCAATAGAGAAAGGCCAGAAGGGTCTGGCGGCAAAATGTTCCAGGGAAGGCATTATTGACTATTGTCTTTCAACACAAAAGATCCTGTCCGCCAAGAAGGCATCGATGCTACGAAAGGTGTGTCAGAAGAAGGGCATCAGATATACGAGGAAACCTGAGATCATCGATGTCCTAGCGAGGGAGCAAGTTAAACTTGCATACGAGGGTTTTGCGAAGGTGGAGACGGAGCCAGGGGAGGAGGAGAGAGCGGAAGTGAACCTGGGGGAGGATATGGCGGGACCTAAAAAGAGAGGAACGTGGTCGTCGGTTCAATTAGCACCGGCGAGAGTCACTTTGAGATCAGCGAAGAAGCAGAAAGCGCAGGAGTCAGACTGACTGCCTGCGCCTCCTACGATCGTAACGCTATGGGAAACTCTGAAAAACCATATGCGGTTGTTGTCATCCCTCTGGGAGCAGGGACGGAGCAGTGAGCAACTAGTGACAATCGAGCGTGTAATCATGACTACTACTGTTCTTTTGGCGTTAAGGGGGCAGATACACTGGTTAACTAAGTATCTGGTACGATAAGAGATCACCGCGAGCATGTTGGATCTGAAGGAAGCCGGTGTTTACATCGTGGCGTCGCCATGGTCTAAAAAGGTTTACGTGGGTAGTACAATCCGGAGCACCATGCAGAAATGGCGTGAGCATCTGAGCAACGCTGACACCGAGGTCATCGGGAGTTCACCGAAACTGTACCGATGGATGCGCCATTACAGTCCGGGCAATTTCGTGATTATCCCGGTCAGACACGCGAATGAAGAGGATGATCGGGCCTTCGAGAGACACCTCATACAGGATTTTTCGCCTTCACACAACACGTGCAACACTAGTAATCGAAGGACGGGTAAGACTCGGAAGAGGAGGAAAGGTAAGAGGGACAGGAAAAGGTTGAAAACGGGACAACGTGAGAGGAAGGGCGTCCTGAGTTTCACGCACGGAAGAGCGTACGAACGGAGGGTATCGCTGAAGACCTGGTTGGAAGAAGAATGGATAAAGAACACGAAGGGCGAGAGGAGGGTGCAGTTCCACGCGGGAGAGATCTGGTCGGACGGGTGGAGGGAGATTAAGAGGCTTTTTGGGATGACGAAAGTGAGGATTAATGGGAGGGTGAAGAAACTTTCTACGATCAAGGGGAAACTAAAGCAAGGAATGACGGTGGTGTTCATCGGGATCACTAAGACAATGACGACAACGGCTACGTACATGCAAGAACTGAGGTGGATGCTCAAGAAACCGATATTATTCAAAAAGATGGTGAGCTATACCACCAACCAACTGGTGGGAATGTACCGGGCGGCAGGCTACTTCAGAGAGAAGAAGACCAAGAATGATTTGAGACTGAAGATCGACAGGGCGGTGAAGAAGAAGACTGGGGTACGCATACGGAAGAGGGTACAAGTGAAGGTCACGTACGATAAACAGTTGGTGAAGAGGGAGATAAGACAGGCGACAGAGGGTGTGGTGGGAAGAAAGGTGAAGGATGCAGCCATCACTAATCAGATTAAAGGAAGGGTATGGGTGACCTGGAAACGGAACAGGACGGTAGGAGGGATCATGCATAATCATCGGAAACATGCACACGTCGGGGAACAGCTCTTCACATGCAGAGCAGCCGGTCTTCCTACCATAGATAGACACGTGCTCACACGGTTATCTGACTTGAAGGAGGTACCGGTTTTTATGAAGAACAGTAGAAATGTGACATGTAGTTCGAAGGGTGGCGCTATTCGGGCGATCGTGCAAGCTATCGTCGAGGGGACGATTCACCTTGGAGGAAAAATGGAGGATGTCGACATTCCAGCCGGCGGTTTCATGAGCAAGGAAGTGACGGGGGCACCAGGGCAGGGCACGTGGGATGAGGAGGAGGTGGCGACGTGGTGTAAGAGATTCGAGGGACCGGTACTCGCCCCGGTGGACCGCAATCAGGGCGATACGGCAGTTATCTGCCCTATTATTTATCGGCACGCCTTTGGGAAGACCTTCGTGTGGAACTGTGACAACGAAGATGCACGGGAAAAGGAGCAGGACATCCTGCTGAGAGCGAGGAACGAGTTTGAGCAAGCCAGCCTGCATAAGATCGCTGCGTGGAAGACGGACAAGCGAATTGGACGGGCGTATGTCATTCCCAAGGATAAGGATCTCGGCAGATGGAGACCGATAGCTCCAACCACGGGCGACCCAGCGGGAACGGCACAGCGAAAAGTGGGCAGGGCACTGCACTACCTTATGAAGCTGTTCCCAAAGGAGCAGACTTTTTACCTTAATTCAATTCAGGATCTACCCGCAAAACAGGAGGCGGTGAAGAAGAGATTGACCGAGATCGGATGTACGGGGGTGGAGGGAAGATGTTACGACATAAAAGACATGTTTGTGAAGATACCGCATGATGCCGTTCGGCGGTCAGTCTGGCAGATACTAGTATGGTATGCTAACAAAGGTTGGAGGCAGGTTAAGGTGTCCAGGACAGGAAGAATGTGTACGCTGAGCAAGACCCGCAGGGCGACGGATGGCTATGTGGACATCCGCTTCGAGAGTATTTTTGCAATGGTGGAGTACGATCTCAACAATGCGTATGTCAACTGCGGGCAGGTGATGAGGAGACATATATCCGGAATCCCCATGGGGAAATGTACTAGCCCGATCGTGGCCACGATTACTTGTGCGATGACAGAGTTCAATATGCTGAAGGGGCTGGCCTCGGATCGGAAGTTGGTCGGCGGATGGAGGATCGTAGATGACATCATGGTGGTGGAGGGAAGGCAGGCGGGAGGGAGGAGTTCGAATGATGAGGTTTTCGGGAAACTAGAGACCAGCTATGATGAAAAACTGACTCTGGTTAGAAAGGACAGAGGGAAGGACTGATGACATTTTCAGGGCGGATCATTTTACCTGCTGCAACAGCCAGTGAGGCTGATGTTCGTCCCGGGGATGAAGAACCTGGTAACACTACGGGAGACTGCCAGTATCAGGTATCARACGATGCAGGACTATGCATYRTACTCTGAGAAAAGGTCRAAGAAGTCTACGCTGGMAGCCACCCTGAAGAGATTGTGGAGCTCGACTTCATGCCAGGTCTTGGTCATTGGCTCGATAGCCTATACGCTGTGGGAGGCATACCTCCGGGGCWWWGCCCCGGAGGTCTCTCTAGGTGCCTTGGCCAAATTGGTCAAGGCTACGAGTGATCCGAATCTGCGATGTCTACTGCAGATGTTGAGCAAAGGGTTCCTGCGGAGGAGACGGGGGGTAACGGGTACCAGTGGTCCGGGGTACGAGGTCGGAGGGTACGGGTAGGAGGTAGTGGATAAGGGGTACCAAGGGAGTTAGGGACAGGGATGGTGAATAGGAAAATGCTGGCAATGGGATGAAGCGGGGTTTGTCACGAGGAATCGGCCCGGAGACTGGGTCAAACAGGATGGATTCGAGGCAGCGGCCTTGNAATGCTGGCAATGGGATGAAGCGGGGTTTGTCACGAGGAATCGGCCCGGAGACTGGGTCAAACAGGATGGATTCGAGGCAGCGGCCTTGTGACTTATCAGAAAACTGGGGGGTACGACTGCGGTTTGAAACATGGCGGCTAGACCAGGGGACTTTAGTGGTCGGCCCGTTCACCGTGAACAACCCCGTTCACAAAAAAAACACCAAATGAACGGCCGATCACGTTCAATTGACCGGTGCCGGTCACGTTCACGGGTCCGGCACTGGCTGCGGGACACACATTTGTCACTGTTTTTTTTCCCAAAAAAATGGGAAAAAAAAGATAGTTGCATCTTGGCGAAGAAACAGGAAGGTCCGAAATTAAAATAAAAAAAAAGAAGGAGATTAATTTCATTTTGATCATCCTCTCTCTCTCTCTCTCTCTTTCTCTCTCTGTCTCTCTCTCTCTCTCTCTCTTGCTCTCTCTCCCCCCCTTGCTCTCTCTCTCTCTGAAACCGCGCGCTGATTGAGCGCCGCTCAAAACCGCGCTCGAGCGCGGCTTGAGCGCCTTGAGCGATTTTGAAGAAAGGGGGTTTCGCGACGTGCTCAGTGTTTGGCGGGGTGTGCGGGGTCCCAGGTGGCGGGGAGCGGTGGGGGCCATGGGGCCCAGGGTTCTGGGCCTTCTGGCTTGTTCTAGACGTCGCAGGAGGCCGAGTTCAGATTGAAATAAAAAAAAAGGAACAAAAAAAGGCACGAAGGCTCGAACATAGCGCGCGCGCACGAGAGAGAGAGAGAGAGAGAGAGAGAGAGAGAGAGAGAGAGAGAGAGAGAGAGAGAGAGAGAGAGAGAGAGAGAGACCAAAAGGTTCCCCTTTCATCAATTTAGGACCCCCTGCAGGTAACTCTAAATGACTCCAACAATGCACTTAGGCATTGGGGAGGCTTTGAGTTTCGCTGCTTGAGCAAGCAAGGTGGCCGCACCACAACGAGACAGGTGAGAGAAGACCACCAATATATATACTGTGGCGTCGAGTTTAGATCTGTACCTCGGGAGTTATGGGTTACCAATTGAGCTAGACCCTGTTCATGTTTCCACGTGATTCTCAGGGCCTCCCACCACCACTCACCAAATGTATATAATATTAGCATAATGAATCTTCTGCGAAAACATGGAACCATGCGCCGCCATATGCTATGTCTTTTCTGCATGTGGTGAGTAGTTGAGCAGGCCCAACTGTACATATTTGAAAGAAAAAAAATAAAAAAACGAGAGAGCTACGGGCATCCTCCCTCCACCACTCAGCAAATGTATATAATATTAGTCTAGGTAGCATGGGATATGTGGCCGGATAATCTGGTCAGATTATCTGGCTGGATGATCGGGGGTTAGGATCATCCGGAAATCCGGATGATTAAAAAAAATGCCTAAAAAAAGCAAAAAAAAAAACAAAAAAAAACGGGATATTGCGCATCCAAAATACAAGAGAACTACGTTCCTATTTCATGAAAAACTTGATAGGGCCTGGAAGGGTTCAAAGGGGATAAGATAGGGAATAAAGGGGTTTAGAGGGGAGATGCTTAATTCATTCTATAATTTTTTAATCTAAATATTGTTTTCTTGTTCTGTTTTATTTTGTATCTCCAAATCTGTTGAGTAATCAAAGATGGCCTCAAGCCAAAAGTTGTTCATATGATTGATATGAATAACACTTTTTTTTTCTTCAGATTTTTAATTTTTTTTTAATGTTTTTTTTTCGGTAAAAAAAATATATTTTGCGGAGGGCCGAATTTGCCATATCCAGAATTAATCCGGAAATTTCATCCGGATTGAAATTTCTGGATAAAATTGGTCTGCCGGATATCCGGATTTGCTACTTAGATATTAGTAGAATGAATCTTCTGCTAAAAAATAGGACCATACATCGCCATATGCTATTTCTTTTGTGCATGTGGTGAGCAGTGGAGCAGGCCCCACTGCACGTATTCATAAGAAAACAAAAACAAAAAACCGAGATAGCTACGGGCATCTTCATCCTAACCCATAACTGCAGAGATGCAGACCTGAACGCCAATCTTAAGCATATATTGGTGGTCGGATAGCCGTGGAAATGTAAGTTGTGACTTTTGCGAAGTTTGTGGGGCAGGTCGTTAGTAGGCGGCCACCCCCTTCTTGCGAACTTACCCCACCATTGTGTGGGATTGACAGAAGAAAGGGGGAAGGCCAGTTTTCATACCCCACCAAAAAAGGAAGTTGGAGTGAGCCCTATTTTATGCTTCACCATTTTGAAACTTCTGGGGGCAGGGCCTGTGGCAATTGAAATTCGGCAGCCCTGGTAAAAAAACATTCCACCCCACGGTCCCCACCCTATCCCACCCC